AGGTCCCCAGGCCCAAACAGGCCGTCTCCCCATCCCTGTCCCCATCCACCTCTCCGGACAGCATAGCCAGGCACCACTCGGTGCTGCTGTCCCAGGGGAATGGCAGCTCCAAGGGGGTGCGGACATCCTCCCCGCTCCTGCACCCCGGCAAGTACGTGGCCATCGACTGCGAGATGGTGGGCACCGGTCCCCAGGGCAGGCTGAGCGAGCTGGCGCGGTGCTCCGTGGTGAACTATGAGGGGGACGTTATCTATGACAAGTATGTCCAGCCCGAGCTCCCCATCGTGGACTACCGGACGCGCTGGAGTGGCATCACCAAGCAGCACATGAAGAGCGCGATTCCCTTCAAGGCTGCCCAGGCAGAGGTGAGGAAAAAGAGAGAAATTTAAAAAAAAAACAAAAACAAAACCCAATCAAAAACCAAAAAACACAACAAAACAGTCTGTGTATTATCTGCCAGCCACAAATTGGGGTATTTGGTGGCCCATGCTGAGCTGCTCTGAGGCAGAGACACAAGCACAGGACGGGGAGCCCCCGAAGCCATGCCGTGGGTTGGTTTGCTTGTTACTGCTCTGTTCTGGGAACCTAAAAAACTAGAACTGAAGAAACTGACTTTAACACAAAATTATTTGGTTTATGCTTAATTGGTGTTTCTTTTGCTGTACTGCCTGTCTGACCCTTTCTGACGCTTCCAGATCCTGAAGATCTTGAAAAACAAGATTGTGGTAGGACACGCCATCCACAACGACTTCCAAGCCCTGAAGTACTTCCACCCGAAAGACAGGACCCGAGACACCAGCCGGATCCCCATGCTGAAACAGAGGGCAGGGCTGCCCATCAGGGCCAATGTCTCCCTCAAAAGCTTGGCCACACACCTGCTCCAGAAAAAGATCCAGGTAAGCACCGGGAACCTTGAGATGGGGAGCAGTTCCTGGGTTTATCACAAGCCTGCGTGGTCCCCCCACCTCCATGGGTGTTCTCTGTGAGGTGGAGGTGAACCTTGTTCATCCTGTGCTTGCAGCTGTGATCAAGCTGGAGGAGCCCAGGACCTCCCAAGCTGCTCATTAAGCATCTCAGTAAAGCAGGGACAGGACCTGTCCCCTCCAGAAAGTGTTTGACGTGCGTGTGTCTCCTGGGCTACATTGAACTTTTGCTTTCTCCAAAACCCCTGGCACTTGTGTCCTTCCAAGCAAGCAGACAAGGTGACCTGTTGGATTTCTGCCAAACCCTTTCTCTAACAAGGCTTTTTTCCCCTTTGCTCAGGTCGGCTGCAAAGGGCACTCGTCAGTGGAGGATGCTCAGACAGCCATGGAGCTGTACAGACTGGTGGAGGTGCAGTGGGAAGCGGAGCTGGCCCGTAGCCTGCCCCCCCGGCCTCCCAGCCCTATCACAGACTCCACCACAGACAGCAACCAGTACATGGATGACCGGTACTGGCCCACAGACCTGATGGCAAGCAGCCTGTGATGGGGGACGGCATATCCTCCACAAGTTTTGGGCCATCCTGATGCCTTCAGCTATTAAAGGTGGAGGTGGCTGCCCTCTTTCCCTGGGGCTTGTGCCCCACGTTCTCTGCCCAGCACCTAGCCCCACTGTGGACAGCAGCGCAGAGGAGTCAGATGCCCCCAGCCCTGCTTGGGGACATAAAAATAGTGGCACTTGGACACCATCAATCTCCCAAAAATGCTGTCTGCAGCCTCTTGCTGTCATATGGAAATAAGCACCGTGGCTGCGCCATCTTCATCTGTCACTTGGTGCTCCGGGATGAGCAGGGTCCTGGTGCCAACCTGGAGGAGCCCCCCTGGGCGTGCGATGGCTGCGGCGGTGGGCTGGGGCTGCCAGGGCACCTGTCATGCCCTCTGGGAGGGGATACCCCTGTGGCAGGCAAGTGGCAGGTCTTCCCATGGGAGGACTGAGGGGTCTCGCTGATGCCCAAAGGCTGCAAACCATCTGGGGCCAGTTAAACAACCAGTTCCTTTACCACTATCTAGTGAAGCCTGAAAAGAAAGGCTGGGTCTCATCAATGTCCAGCCTGGACAAGAGCTCAGGATGGACTTAATTTTAAATAGACTACTTGCATATTTGTCCAAATCTGAATTAAAAATTGTTCTTGCAAAACCCTTGTGTGCATGTTGCAAGATCTCATCTGGCAGCAATTGAGGAGGGAGGGGAGGGCAAGGGGTGGGCATGTGCTGCCTGCGTCCTGTGCTTTTCAGCCCCGGTGCTTAAAACCCACCTGCAACCAGAAAAGGTGCTTTGAGGGGCCTGATAGTGGCTGGAGTGAGCGGGTCCTTGGGGTATGGGCTGGTCCCTTCTGGTTTGGGGACATCCGTGTGAAGGCAGGGGGAGCAGGGGAATGGGCTCAGCCACAGCCCTGCTGTCCAGTGCTGCCAGCAGCTTGGAAAAAGCCTGTTGCAAGAGAAAGTGTCCCCCTGTGTCACCCTCCAGCAGCTGGGCTGTCCCAGCTCAGGGAGCTCCCTGGGTAAAGGAGGGGCGTTGCTGGGATTTGCCCACCCTGCAAGACAGCATCCCCGCACGCACAGTCTGGGAATGAGAGCTGTGCGGGCTTGGCAGGGTGGGAATGATGCTGAGCTGCAGCATGTGATGCTGTGGGGACGGGGTGATGCTCACCTGCAGTGGCTCTGCCTGCAGGCTGCTGTTTCATGGGTGACATTTGGGTCACTGGGGCTGCACAGATGTGCCCCAGCTGGGTGTGTGGGCACCAGAGTGAGGTTTGGGGCTGGGCATGGGGAGTCACACACTTCCCCAGGGAGCTGAACAGCCAGAGTTATAGAAAAATCAGTATTTTTTTTTTTTGCCAGGTCCCCAGTCCTGCTGCCTGGGCTGTGAGACAGGAGGGGGCTGGAGGGCTGCCAGCACCCTGGGGGGCTTTGGGGTGCCCCAGCCACAGCACGGTGTGGGTACAGCAGCCAACACTGAAATGGAGTCCATGTTCCCCAGGGCCAGGCTAGACAGGTCCCAGGCTTTTCCCTGAGGCCAGAGGGAGGGAAGGAGAGCTGAGCCCCAGCCTTGGGAAGCGGCCAAGGAGCCCGGTGACGCAGGCACACCTGACGCACACATCAGTGCCATTACCAGACGCATCTTGCACTTCCCATCTTAACTCCTGCCTGCCCAGCAGAGGAAGCTGGGGACAGCTCAGAAATGCTTTGAAACACATTGGAAGTGTCCAAAAAGCTCTTACCTTCCCAGTGGCCCAAGCACAACCTTTCTTCAACAGAAATAACTGGGTTGCGCCCTGAGCACGTGGTCTAGGACTCTCCACCAGCCCTGGTAGGAAACATGGCCCCATGGTAGGTCTTTAAATCCTGCTTGTGCAGTTTGTCCCAGCCACGTTCCTGGTGTGGCAGGCTGTAAAACCCAGCTGGCACCACTCTCTGTGTCAGTCTCGGGATGCAGCTCAGCTGAGCCCCAGTGCCACGCCGTGCAATATCAGCCAGACCCGGTGGGGTATGGGAGGGACCTGAACCCCATGGGGGCACCCATGGTGGTGCAGAAGGAGCATGGCTGGCACATGTTTTTCTCCATTTCCTCCTCTCTGCCATTTCCACTTCTCCTGAGGTGGCAGGAGGGAAGCAAAGCTGTGGGAAAGGGGACAGGATCTCAGTGGGTCAGCAGACAGCACCGTCAGAAGATGATGGCATCCCAAAGCAGTGCTGCCTTCTGGTCCCGGGAATGTCGACCTGGAGGAAGGACACAGCGGAGGGATGCTTTGCTCATGGCCATATAGCCTGGCCCATATAACTGCATCCCCTCAGAGGGTGCGTGGGTTTGTGGGGAGCTCTCACGGGGCACCCCATGGCCCCCGGCTTGTTTGTCCACCTCAGCCCCCCGTTGTTGTCCCCCCAGCCCAACCTGTCTCGCCATCCCCATGGCACTGATTTGTCCTGAGCCACGTGATGGCTGGATGTGAGACACGGCCGTGTCGGGGTGAGGCCGGAGAAAGCTGCAAAAGGAGGCGGAAGGCCACGAGGCTTTATCAGCCTGTGACTCAGCCTGCCTTGCCGTCAGCCAGCAGCGAGGGGAAGGCATAATTAAGGGAGGAAAAAAGAAAAAAAAAAACAAACCCAAAACCATTTCTGAAGTCTTGACCATCCAAACACTTTAGTGAGACCCACTTCCAAAGATAAGCCTGGGCTGGGCTCCAGGCAAGGGACAGATTTCTCTCAGCACTCATCCCCTGTGCCTTTTCCCCCGCCTGCCCATGGCAGAGCTCCCCAGCCTGCCTGCTGGGCTCACGGCGGTTCGTGAGGGGCTGGGGGAGTCCCAGGCTGCCTCTGAGAGCTTGTCCCTGTCACCACTACACTGATTTAACCCCCCTGCTGAAATACCCCCCCCCGCTCTGGGGGCAAATTTGAAGGCAGCAATGCAGGCAAAAGCTGGCTGCCCTTTGGTGATCACGGGTCCTGCAAGCTTCACTTCTGTGCTGTGATGTCCAGCTCCGGGGGAAGCTGAGAAACAAAATCGGGAGGGTCAATCCCCATTTACATCAGATTTGAAGGGCTGGAAAAACCCTGACCTTCTGCTCTGCAAGCCCCCAAGCCCCCCGAGGCAGAGTTGCTGAGGACCAAACCCCACCATGGGTGATGAGGGGTGGTGGCAACCCGCTCCCTGGTGATGAAGCGATGCTTGCTCTGAATAATCTGAATGGCAACTTCCGTCCCATTTGCGCCCAGTGAGCCCTTCAAGAGCTGATCAGGATTTTCACAGATGTTTGTGAATATTCACCTATACGCCAGGGAGCTGCTATGGCTGAAAGCAGCCAACCCTCCCTCTGGTTCATCACCCAAGCAGCCCGCTGGCGCTCGTGCTGGGAGGCTGAGCATCTTTAGGCGGGTGAAGGAGAGCTGGGCTGGCTCACCATTTACGCTAAATTTCGTGATAATTGAAGAATCTGCAGAAAACTCGGCCATTGCCTCAACGTCCCTGAATAATGATTAACCCAAACCCACGAATTCAGCAATGGGCTTTTTTATCAGAGGGAAAACATTGTCAAATGAGTTTTTTCCAGCCAGCTGCGAGAGCAGGTAACTGATAAGCCCGTCATTGGAGTGGGGCTGAGCCAATGGGAGCCGATGGCAACGGCTTTTACTTCTGTCTAGCAACAGCTTCTCCTTGAGCAGCAGACAGCGATTCAATGCTTTCCCTTGCTTTTACTGAACTCCCCCCTTCCTGCCCTGCTGCTACACAGGGGTTTTCATGGGGGACACTCAGAAACTGAGTTTTGGATGGAATGTCCCCATTTTTCTGCGTGGTTTTGGTGTCTATTCCTAGCCGGCATGGCGGGGGCTTTGCAGCCGTAGAAGAGGATGTCGTGCCCCCATCCTGCCTTCCCCCGGCTCTGCTCTCACCCTGCCTTGCCCAAGGCTCTTCTTCTGCTGGCTGGATGTCAGACAGCCATAGGGTGCTTGGAATAGCACCGTAGCAGAACAGCAGCTGAACCAGGAGACCCCACGCCAAGGTTGCGTTCAACTCCCTGGCCTGGCATTGCTGGTGCCTGGCCATGGTCCAGCACCTTTCCCGGCTGACGGGAGCTGTTTGCATGGGGACCACGGCTGGGAGTGGCACCCCTGGATCGAGGCATGCCGCAGCACGCAGGGAGGGTTTGCTTTGATGCTGGCACTGGTTATCACAGCATGGGTGGTTGAAGTGCCACCTAATACACAAATGTCTCGGGGTGGAGCAATGCCAGTACCTAATAACAGCCCGGTGCAAGCCCCTAACCTGTGGCAGTCTGTCCCCTCGCTGTGGGGACACAGAGGGATGATTCGCCCCGTTTGCAGGCAGAGAGCAGAGGCTTTTGCTTAGGTGACTCGCCAGAGACCAAACCAGTCGCAGCGGAGGGAGAAGCTGGCCTCCCTGTGCTCCCCACTCCATCAGTACCCCCACCCACCATTGTCCCTCTCCTCTCCACCCCGAGCACAAATTAGAAGGCAGAAAACTCGCAGCCAGCTATAAATTAAAATCTCAGGAGCCTTAATAACCCGCTTGGCCAGAAGAAGCGGATAGGTGTGATGTGGAAATGAATAGGCACATCTGGCAGCCGCTTAGCACTTCGGCTGCAGGAGGGGTGTGCGTGTGCATGTGTGCGTGTGCATGTGTGCGTGTGTGCGAACCGCCAGCACAGCCTCCCGGATTGGCTGCAAAACCCCTTCCCAACCAATGCTGGGGACCAGGGTGGCCTAGCAACAGCCTTTCCCTAATGAAAAACAAGCCACTTAAGCATCGTGACTGTCTGCAGATGAGAGGAAAAGGCACAACTCCCGGCACGCCCCATCCTCCTCAGGGAGCCAGCCCCAAAGGGGGCTGCAAGGGCTGTGCTGTACAGGCTGGGGTCCTGACCCGAGTACCCCTGTACCCCTCAGTCCACGCTCCGCGGATGCGTTGGGTTCATGGGAAGTGTTTGCTGCAGGCACAACACAAGGAAGCCCCTGAGGGAGAAACCCCCTCCAGTTCAGCCATGGCTCCTTCTCCCTGTGCAGGCAGCCTGGGTGCTGGGCTCACCCCCAGCATGGCAAGGGGACCCCACCACAGGCACCACACAGCCCTGCACCCATGGGGATTGGATGCCAAGTGACCACGGGGGCCATGAGCTGCTGAAGATGCCACCTTTGGGGCAGGAGGGGTTCATGGGGTGCAATGCCAGGGGCATGTGGGGTGTTCCCCAGCACTGCTGGGTAAAGGCAGAGCTGAGGATTGGTCACCAGTGTGATCTTGCTTGGAGATGTCACCTTTCCATGTCCCTGCCCTGGGATTCTGTCCTACAACAGCTGCTCAGGGAAAGGGCTCTGAGGACAGCAGGGTCGGATGCATGAGCATAAGTCCATGCCTTAGTGACAGCCTCCCTGAAAGACAGCTCACAAAATAACCACTGGGCTTATGGCCGGGGGCCCAGGGGCTGGCTCGGGGGTCAGTGGGCATGGGGACACATTGGTGGAGGCAGGCTGGGAGCTGGGGACAGTGGCAGAGGACATCGAGGCACAGCATTGCTTTTGGGCTGCAGGA